ATCCATACTTCCATGTCACGAACTGTGTCCACCCTTAGCTTGATATATCCAATACAATAGAGCAAGAAATTTTTATCGGTGGCATAGTGCCATCGATAATTCGACCATCTCCAATTACCGGGCGACTGTACGGTGACCGAAAGGGGTGCTTTAATTGTACCTTTCGGTTTCAGCCTTTTGCAAAATTTTTTACCACACAAAGCTAACAGCACGTTCACTTGCCTTAATTTCCGGCAATTTTTTGTTCTCTCAACTACAACTTTTACCAAAATGTACCTTTTTGGCGGGAAAAAAGCGCAGGTCTGAAAATTACCGATTTATGCGGTTGCTGGCATTACTCCAAAATCTTTTTCACTAGGTTTGGCAATATTGCAAATTATATGTATACCTGAAAATACGGTGCTCCTTTGGCTTTTTGTTGCAACTTTTTTGATCATATTACATTACACTACTTATACTGCTTTCTTCCAGTTCCCCGTTCATTTCATTGGAAATCTCGTTCTTCACCAAATACCATGTTAAAAGCGCAGTCGTAATTATGTTGCGGCTTGCGGCGTTAACTATTTTTTCATAGTATATATTTAAAATGTTCGTTGTAAAATTCTGAAGTTACTGGACCAAGCAGCTATTTGTTAACTAGGATTGGAAAATGAACGTGAAAATTTTTGAAGAAGTGTTATGCCTTTGAGTAATTCTTGCTGAATTTGAAAGCAATTATAGTAAGTATATTTGAAAGGTGACCACTTTTTTTCAAATTAATGGACAGTGATGCGGTACTGGATTTGAGGGTCTTGGACAGTAGCAGAGTTTTATACTGTTCCGTTGGAAAGCTCCATAAGGTTAAGGTGTCTTTGTGGCTAGAGAATATGATATGCGTATGGCCTCACATCGAGTTTTCGTACTGTGTTCGGTTCTGATATCTTATTTCAAACTTCTAGTTATATTTCATTTTTTGTTGCCGTTGTTTACTGAGATCACTCATTGAAAACATCTGTGCTGGATACAGTAATAGCATATATAAGTTAATAGCATAAGTTTAGGGTGGAACGGAAACTGCAGTTTTTCAAATGGCAAAGTCACTGTTTGTTCCATCTGAAGTCTGCAAACAACTTACCGCTTTTGGGTGGGAGTTTTTTATTTACGGAACTCGTTCGGACTTATTTTAGTTGTTTATAGAATTAAAATTGTAATGCAAACTTTACAGAGGTAGTTTTTCAAACATTCAATTTTTAGCTACGATAAAAAATTGTCAGAAGGATCTCTTGTTGAAATATTAAAGCACGGCATTCATGACAATCGCCTCACTTCCATTGTGATTTGGTTATGCAATGAGATCAGTATTTTGTACGGTTTGGATGAGCAGATTCAAATCCCTGGTAATAGACCAGAAGATTTCGAATGTTACCTTTTGGAGCTTAGTTCGTTGCTTATGGAATTAGGTGGGTTTTCAGAAGTGTCATTCGAATTATGATGTATCTCTTGGCTTTTTGCACGTAACGCAAGGAATGGTTTACATTACTCCATCTACTGCTTGCTTATCCACTAGTTTGCCTGTTTAGAATGTCCATCTGAAGAACTAACTACTGGTCCTTTGACCGAACGGTTTGCTACTGAAGAAAAGCTGCAAAAGCTTTTACTTTTCTTAGTTGGACATTTACGTTGCGCCAGGCTCACAGCATTGGACCAGATTAAAAGAGAGGGTGCAAAAACGGTATTGATTTTACTTCAAACTATTAAATGAAATGTTATTTAAGGTTTATTCGTCTTTGTTTGTTTGATAAGTTGCGTTTCTATCACAGAAGAAAAGAGAAGAAGTCTTATGTGTTGAGAAAGCCTTGAAATGTCTTGGTTCGACTCAGCCGCCGGCTGACTTGACTGGGGAACAGTTATTTAAACAGTTTGAGAAGTTGGTACGTGATTGCTTCACTTTGCATCGTTTTTTTTTTTTTTTTTTTTTTTTTTTTTTTT